GATTGGATTGCTCCAGTCCACCGTCTATTCACCTGGCCTGCACCGTGACTCGTCGATCCCGCCGCGGCCGCTGTGGGCGCTCCTGAAATCTTAGGATGTGGATCTCTCCCTCAGGTTAAGGAGGTACTTACCGTAGTACCAACAAAACTCCGGGCCTGGCTAGTGATTGAAATTTCCTGAAGTAGCCTAGATGATGTGCAGCATTTCTTTTTGCGGCAAGATGGCTTTCAGATTCTCTGAACAATCCTGGCAAATCTTGGTAGCAGCTTGAGACAGGGAAGTCATCAGCAAAGCCACAGCAGCAGGCTTACCGCTCCTGGGAACTGGCCGCCTCCGCCTTGCCATGACGACAGCTTCAACCGTAAAAGCGCAGGCCCTAATGTGGATCCTTGTAGCACCATCGGGCAGGAGTTGAGGCGGGCTACATACCGCTCGAAGGTTGTGACTTCATCCGCAGCTTTTTTGGAGCTATTGGTTGTCTTTCCTTGCAACGTGCGATACTCGATCCTTGATTTGTCTCATGTGCCCTTTGACATCTCGTAAAACCACTGCACAAACTTTGCTGACAAACATTAGTACCCAGCAAGTTGATTACCCTGATGTTACCCTACAAACCTGAGCTTAGGCTTCTCTAGCGCTCCAACCCTTGTACCCCAGCGTAATGTGATTGCACTTGATGCTGCGAAAAGCCAAGTTAAACGACTAATCCAAAGATTAGATCCAGGTCCTTGAGCTGATCGTGGTCGAACTGTAGCGCCTTCCCAATTCAGGCTTTGTCAGGGCCCTGGGGTCAAGAGGAGTGAAAGGGATCTGATGGAAAATGGTGCGAGGGTTTAGTGTCCTGAGCAGCGGCTTCCAGACCCAGGACCTGGCCTGCATTCGGCGCTCCATTTCGCTCAGCTTCTGTTCCAGGCTGCGCCTGCAACGCCGGCTGCAAGCAAAGGGTCATGCAACAGTTCTAGTAGTAACTTAAAGCAGTGCGGTGCTGTTCTCATGGCGGCACGACCAAAAATCATGAAGACATGTGTTCTCCATTCATGTATATGATACTGTATCGACCGTGTAGGCGTCAAAAACAAAACCTCTGCAAGGTCCCTACCTAATTAGCACCCTCAGGGACGTAGCCGCTTTTGGCCCTCAGGGCAAGCTAAGGCAGGTGGGTTTGATTCACCCTGTCAAAGCTGGACGTGGATTGATGAGTAATGCGGTCATCTGAGAGGCCCCGAACCACGAAACGGTATTAAGGAAAGGAATACCGAACAGCACACCCTGAAGCCCTCCATCAATGCGCGCAAAACTCACAGCTACAGCCATGGACGTTCTGAAAAATGCAAAGATGGCAGCACAGCAATGACAGATGCTACAAGATCTCGGGACCTCTCTCTGTCCAGGTTTGTCACCTCTGTCCTGGCGACGGGCTTTGTCTTAGCAGAACTCACGGTCTCGCCCGCTTCTCCAGCATTCATGCCACAACTCCAGCGCCGCACGAGACAGGCTCAGCATTTTAACTTTTGTGAGGCATGCACGGCTTGTGTATGTCGAGCATAACACGCAAGATACTCTCAAGGTGGGTTGCACTTTTTCCTAGCCTCAGGCTGTCTTCCGCCTTTTTGCGCTCGGAGTCAGCCTGCGCAGCCGTGGGAATGGGCAGCCAAAGCAGCATTGTGAGATTTGCCATGATTTTCTGCTTCCAGGCATGGCGGAGTGGACACGGGCTGGGAAACCGGGACTGCAGCGCCTTTCGGAGGTGGACCTTGTCCTGCTCCTCACAGACCGCAGAAGTCAGCTGAAGTTGCGGGCTGCCCGCTTGAAGCTAGGCAGGATGCTGGACAAAGTTTTTGCAGCTCAGAACAGACTGTACAACGGGTTTTGCTAGCCGCACGACGTTGCGCCGTGGAGCTTGCGAAGCTTCCATTCTGAAGACAGCATTGGTCTCCTGCTTCCATTGCTCTGAGGCTTAAGCTGCCACTGGGCTGAGACGACGCCTGTACGACGGTGTGAGAAAACTGTGAGGTGACACAACTCGCCTTTGCCTCTCAGCTCTTCTTCAGCTGCCTGGCAGCACAAGAGTCGTTGCATCGGGCTAAGACTTTGCTTCTTCACCCCTTCTACGCCTCGGCCCAGAGATTCCAACTGTAAAAGGGATCGCGCGCTCTCAAGAAGCAGCAATGTAGCAAATAAAGGCAGACTCCGCGCTCGGCGCCTGCGCACGATCACTGCCGTAGCCTGGGTCGAATCGTTGCAATTCATTGTGTACGTGCTTGGCCTCTCCAGACCAAGTCCACTGGTCTTGCAACCAAAGGCATACTGAGAGAGTAGTTGGGCGAGTTTATCAGGATCATGATTTGATGACATGATTCCAAAAGCAAGAGTGCACAGGATGCCTAGAATGAAGAACTTTTTTTACTGAGAATCCCTCAATTGCGCGGCGCTGCAGCCAGGTTGCCGCAAGGACGGCAAGGCCGACCCCCAGGAGCGCCAAGGTGGAGCCTGGCTTTCGATGGTGATTTTCATGCCGTCTCGTGTAGGAGATTGGATTCGATGGGAGCCCCTACTTGCGGTAAAGCCTTCTCACCACCAACGCTGCAGCTTGTTGAATGTTTGGAGGTTCCGAGTTGAGCTATCTCTATTTATCTTTTTTGGGCCGTCCCTCCGCTGTCCGGGGTCTAGGGTCTAAAGGAGTTTAGGGTCTAGAGTTTAGGATCCAAGGTTTAGGGTCTAGGGTTTATAGGGGTTTAGGGTCTAGGGTTTAAGATCCAGGGTTTAGGGTTTAGGGTTGGATGGAGGAAATCTTATGGGTGCTGGCTGGGGTAGGCGCTCATGGAATGAGACAGATCCATCCGACCGAGAACACGCCGCCGCGTTCCCTACCAGCTCTTCATCGCTTGGGCACAAAAATGCCGGAAAACTAGTGAAACCACTACGCATCATGTTATTTGCACAATGCCCACGTGAGGGTAGTGGAGGCTACAGGAGAAAATTTGACGCAACCATTATGACCGTTGCAAGGGAACTGAACACTACAGGAGTAGGGAGGTTTGATGAAACAATCAGGTATGCGGGCGCGCGTACCATGACCATGCAGGGGTAGCGAGCACTACACAACGTGGAGGGGCGTTCCATACAATCACGAAGCATGATAGCACAGGTAGCATGACCATGCACGAGTACAGACGGGGTAGGGAGGTTAATGGAGGATTGATGCAATCACCCAGTACAAAGTTACTCGTATTTATTCATACCATGATGTACCATGACCACACAACGGTACTGAACACGAGTGAACGCTACAGAGGGAGTAGGGAGGCTTGAGCCAACCACTTCACTAAGCCTGCTGTCATTCATACCATGACCCGGCAAAAGTAAGGAACATTGGAGAGGAAGGTCGAATGCAACCACCAAGCCTAATGCACCATGGCAGAGCGATGTAGTGAGCGGAGTAAGCGCAATGGAGTCAAACAACCTGTAAGCGAATGCGTAAGTTTATGAGTAGACACCTTTCCAAACGAAGCACCCATTTTCCCCTCCCCCTGGACTCGCCCCCCTCAAAATGCAAAACCTCAGATTCCTGTGGTGGAATGAAAAATCTCAACATAACCCCCCGCATCCTGCGATAGGATCATTAGCTCGCGCTTTCCAGACCTTGCCTGCCCCATACCGGTGAGGAAGCAAGAGACAACTCAAGCCTAGCTACGCTTCGTTTCTGTCAGCAGCGTAGTTTGCAAAAGTTCCAGACTTTCCTGTGGTCCCGTGCTTGAGGCTGCACTCAGGCCTCCGGAGGCAGTCCATGAGCTGCGCTTCTGAAGCCTCATGGCCGCCTGTGCATGTAGCTGGGTTTGGGCGGTAGACTTCCAGGTGCAGAGGATGCGCACTTACAGATGCCTTGAGGTGTGGGAGATTAAGCGCTCGCGGATGAAGCTTACATCTCAATTTCATAAGCATTTTTTTGGGTGAAGATCTTGTGTTTAGCTAACAAAGTGAGACATAGATCTCTTGCAGCAATCACATCCCCTGTTTCCTGCAATGCCTCTGATAGATACGAGTTGTCACCCTGAGCCTATAAAACTCAAACCCAAGCCCTAGCGTTATCCTGGCACGAGGGTAGGCGTTGATTCCCATGGATGCAACCCACATCTCTGCCTCATCTACCCGGGCTTTTCTCTAGGCAACCACGGAATCCGCAATCCTATTACGCTGGACATCCTACCCTCAACCCGCCAAATCATTGCAGCCTGTTCTGATTCTAACCCTTCCAGAGCCTTCAGGAAGGAGGCCTCGAAGTCCTGCGCGGGGCGACCCTTGTCCGCTTCCGAGCATGGCGGCAGCTCCTCACACAGGGAGGCTTCATGCACCCTGGGCTTCTCGGGTTTTAGGGCTCAAGGTTTGCTTTTTCTTGCAGGGTTCACTGTATGGAGTCGCAGCTTTCTGGCCTGGTTCAAATGCGTCTGAACCAGGCGCCATGCTTGTGATCTCCGTAAATTCTCGAAAGGGACCGAAATGATAGAACGGCTGAAATGAAGGAATGATTACACCTGCACGCACACTGCTAGCGGCGGCGGCGGCGGTGGTGGAAGAAGAATCACTGGGCTGTGCGCTTAGCTTTCCCATGTCCAAGCCCGGGCTCTAAATCCCCGACCTGAAACTGCATCCCAGCCCTCAAAAAGAAAACAAGGTACGTTGAAAGCTATCCGTTGAGCACTGACTGCCTGACTAACACGTCTCACACATCCCACAGTGCCAAGTCTGCAAGGCAGATCGCAGATGCGTCCTTGATCAGGTACTGCCCATCTCCTCCTGGGTATCTGCGATCTTGGGGTTTACTGTTGGGCACGACTTTTACGAAGGTTTGACATGGCGGTGCTTTCAAAGTGGCAGGATAGGGGAGTAGAAATGACTGATGGCTAGCTTAAGGTTTGTTTTTGCAGAGTTTGCATAGCCGGGTCAACTTCAAAAAACACGGCAGTGTAAGCATTGGTCTAACCCTTAACAGGAATGCGATCTTATGCCGAACCAGCTTCAAGTCCAGAAATGCACGTGAATGATTGGCCAAAAGCCCCCAACACTTCTTGCGCCGAGGTTCTCAAGCTGTAGCCCAGCTTCCGGTAGTAGTTGCGCACGCCTTCATATGTCATGTGTTTGGATGTACCGTTCGGCGTTAAGGACTCAGGGGTCCAAATCTTTTGGCATGAATCCCCCAAAAAATGCACTCCCTTTTTGGAGGTGGGTCACGTAGTACCAGTAAGACTCAGTGGGCTTGCCCAGGCGATGTCCCTGGCAGTAAGATTTATGTGACGGCACCTGTTGCGTCTGCCGTGCCCTCTCGAGGTTGCATTCTAGATGTAACATATCTTCCTGCACTCGACCGTTAGGGCGAACCTACTCCAGCGATCACTGAGATCTTCTTGAAGCCATGAGCTGCAGCAATGAGCTCGGCTGTTCCCATCAGCGTTTTGCCGATTCCTTGGCTTTTTACTGTCAGTTCCACACATTACATAAGGAGGGACGCATGACTCCCAGGGTATCAAGCGTTCTGCCCGAGCACAGATTACATGCCCGGATGCGCTGCAAACTCAAGAATCTGACCTGCTGCAACGATGGCCAACCTTGAAATTTGCCCGAATAGCTTGGTGAACACCAAGGATCCGATGTGCTGCGGCCGGTCGTCATTCAAGCTGCGGTTGGATTCTTCGCGCCCAGCTGCTACGAGAGCACCGTAGACATGCAGCTCCCGGATAAGCGCGCAGCCGCCGAGCTCCTTATCATCTCATCGAGAGCCAAAACGAAGCACGCTCTCCACTGGGTTGTAAGTAAGTGTAGCCTCCCCAAAGAAGCGTTACTGAGTGCTGCTTGAAGGTGCCGTACTTTCCAGCTTACACAGGTCATATTTCACCCCACATACAGTACCTGTCGCAAGCAGCTCTACCCGTGCGGCCAATGCTCTGGGAACACTGGACTTGGCGCTCGCGAGTCGTCATTGAAGCGCAGGCGCAGGAGCCCATAGAGAGTGGCATTGTCCTCGTCAGCATCCTGTCAGAGCATCTTCGGAACACAGCAGCAGCCAATGCTATGCAGACTCTGAGCTCTCTCCTTCATCTCGCTTCTGCATTTTTTTGTTGCGGTTGGTTCACTCACAGTGTTCCTCAAGACAGCAAGTTGAAGCCGTCTCGAAGTCAAGAACATCAACCTACAGCGGGCCCCCAGGTTTAAAGCTACTGAAGGACCGGATAACCCCACATGTGTAACAATACCAGACCAGAGACTACTTAGATTCCACTGAAGACAAGAAGAAGGACAAGAAGAAAGGATGGGAATGAAAGAAAAAAGGAAAAGGAGGAAAGAAACCAAGGTCAGTTGGATCAGGCGAAGGAATCGTAGTGTATGAAATCGATCAGTCGAGAGCGGGTGGTTTTCGAAGTCGCGAACAGAGATGTAGACGGGCGTCCCGAACCAATTGCGAGGCGCTATAGATCTGTACTACTTCAGTCGCGAAGACCGATGCCGTAGAGGCGCGTCCCGAGCCGATTGGGGAGGCTCTAGGCAGTAATTACAAAACTGCACTGCTTCAGTCGCGAAGAGAGACGGCATAGAGGCACGTCGCGAACCGATTGGGGAGGCTCTAGGGACCTATGAACTGTTCTACTTGAGTTGCGAAGAGAGGCGTTGTAGAGGCGAGTAACAGTAAGAACCCCATAAGAGATCCCAAAAGAACATCGGGAACAAGGACCCGGATCCAAGCCTGCTCCACTACGACAGACGCAGTCTTCTGCACAGCCGAGGCAGCCAAAGCAGCAGCTGCTGCCTGCAACGGGGCTTGAGGACTTATGCGATGGCGTACATTTGAGCTGTTGCTCTAAGCTGCGGTAGATCGGCCAGAGGTCAACTGAAATGTCAGTCCCAAACAGTGCCAGCACAGTACGGACATTGAAGGTCGTTACTCCGCCGTTAATTCTGCGTAATCAGAGTACCTTCACAAAGCGGAGACGCCTGCAGATCAACCCTTAAGCCCAGCAAGTGGTTGACACGTGATGCTGTTGCCATTTGTCAATGTGTTTGTGAAGGGCCCAGAAAGACTGCGCGTGCAGCGTAGCAGAGAGGACGGCCAGTGTGGCAGATGATTTATGTAACACACCAGTCAGCCACGAGTCCGAAAGTGTCAAGACAAGACAAAGGTCCGCCTTCTTCCGCTCCTCCCGCGTCCCACCAGCTGCAGACGCGGCCTTGGCGGCTGCCTTCAGGAACGCGCTTTTTCGAATTCTTACGAAATTCGATGAGCTTTGCATCATGTTCTGGTGCACGGCTGCAGGGCCATACAATAGTTCTTTGGAGCAAGTTTACCAACCCTGAGACTCGGATGGAAATGTGAGGATCTGGGAGACTAGCTACCAAGTGTGCGTGTTGACCAATGCATGGACAATTCGAACAGTTTCTTTTGATGGCGCTGCTGGAAGGTATGCAAGGTGCTTGCCAGTCCTGAATTTCAACTCATTGGACGTAATCAGCATGTGTCACGAGGACTTTCAAAACATTCTTCACAAGTGACTCCGTAAAGGGGTCTGATAGCTGTCGCCTAGAACGTTGGCATCACGAGTACTCTCAAAGCGTTTTGCTTGCACTGTGCTCGGCAGCAATGGCAGCATGCCATTCATTACTTGCAAGTTTTTAGGAGCAGACAAGCCAGCGATGTTCGCGTTAAGGTACAAAAAGCCTTGTTAACAGCCAGCCTTCATCTCGGCCTGTGCGCTCGGGTCGCGCAGGGCAGATTTCTTCTCTTTGCGCTCCTTCTTCGTGGCCTTTCAACGAGTCTCTAGCTGTTACTCAACATCCAGTCTGCGTTTGCTGCGCAATGCCGCAACTTTCTAGTCCCTAGTGTGATTAGCCTCAACTCCTCAGTGTTCATCTCCCAAGCCCTTCATCCGGCCTTCTGGCCGCCAGCTAGAGCACGCTGTGTGGCTCCGCCACCGAAGCCGCGGTGCCCGCCCTCAATGGAGATAAAGAACTCTGTGCCGCCTCAACATCCAATCCCCCCAACAAAGCACCTTTGATTGGACGGAAAAGTTGCCCCTCTTCTTGCATGGTAGAGTTCCTCTTGGCAGCAAGGGGGATACCTTACAAATAATCAACCCTTGCGGAGGCTTTGCAAAGATGCATGAGCTTCTACCAAGCCTATACTCGCATGGAATACCCCGCCAGAAGAGCTTTGGAGACTGACATTTGTTGCTGCAAGTACAAACCTTTTCGTCTTCCTCCTTCTACCAGCCCCACCACCAGAAATCCTTATCCCAGTTATTGGGGATGCTCCTACAACCTTGCTGATTCCAAGTCTGCGAGGCCAGGGCGCTCGAAGATCGATACTCGCGCACCTCAGCTTTACTCTTGCGTCGCTACTTAGAGACCTCCTACAGGCCGTTTGTTGTGTGAGACGAGACCCCACGCATACCCCATATGCAAATATAGCCGCTCGGAGTCGCAGTCCGTCGGTGGTTTCAGGCCAGTCTCGCACCTGCAGTGTACAGTAGCAACTCAAGAAAACGGCTGTCTTCCCTGCAGGCGGTCATTCTGTAATGTGCTATAAAGGCCTGAATCGCACAATGCGGCATAGTTGCATTTCGCGAGAAGGCAATGGGATGCAGTACTAACTTCCTTCTCAGTACGAGTGGCTTCCTCAACCCCTTCCAATGCCATCTCTGGGCCCTCAGGCCTGGCATAGACCCTCACCATCCCTCACCACACTCCACAGCCCAACCTACAACCGGACTCCTTGAATCGGCATGTTTGCCTCACGGCAGCGGATGCATCGGCAGCACTGCCCGCGAGACTTCAGAACCTCCTTGGCGGAGTTCACTGCTTGGCTTCAGGTACAGTACTTGCAGCAACAGGGAGCATTCGAGAACAAAGACACCGGAAGGACATAAAACAAACGGGACAAAGCCAGAACCTGAGTGAGAGTAAGATCAAAGTAAAAGTAGCCGTAGTAGTAGAAGAAGGAGGAAGTAGTAGCAGCAGTAGTAGTAGCAGCAGCAGCAAGGTTGCGAACAGCATCATTCCTTTCTGGATCTCAACTGAGGCCTCCTTCCACTTACTGGTCTCAGATGCTCGATTACTGGGATGCACTTTGCTGAGATTTTGTGGATCAGATGCTGTGCCATTGCTTCTCTTCTCTGTTCCCATTGACGTTGTGATCCCCTCGGCGAGTTGCTGCGTGCCTTTGCTCATGCGTCATGATCTACCCAGCTTTGAGGTGGCATGAGCAAGTACTTGCAGCCACGCCGCGAAAATAGCCTGCCTGAGGTTTGTGAGAGAGTTCCCCGCCACTATCGACACCTGCGCAGGGAGGTCCTCCCCAAGATGCAATACCAATGGTTCAAAGACAAACACAAACCTTCGGCCCTTCCAACACCAAATGCTATCCTTTTATGCACAACACGCGCATGAGCTTTCGTTGGTCATGCTGGATTCAGCCATATACACGCAATGAAATTGCCTCTTTTTTTGGAATCCCTTCTGCCTCCGGCAAGAAACTTTACCAGGCCCTCCAACGGTACTGCAGGAAGTGCACTTGCGACGGAGCATCCCCAGAAACACAACAATCGACATCACATCGGACACCCGAGATCTAGAAAGCTTCTGAAATATCTGGAGTGAACGTCATCAGCTTTGGGGCCTCTGGGATGTCCCGGATGACGCCTTGGATCCAAGGTCAGATGAAGCTGTGTCAAACGTAGAATGGGCTTGGGGACTGAGTCTTGCATTTCGCGCAAAACCATCAGGATCCTCGACCACACTTAAAGTCTGCGCATTGCTCTGGAGATCTCACACCACCCTTAGCCTAACTGTGCACATGAACAACCAAAAAAAGTCAGAAGATTCTCTTCCCAGAACCATCGGCAAATTCACCTCAACAGCTCTCCAGCACATGAACTTTGGTTGGCGCGTCGAGCTGCGGTTGAGGCGGATCCAGGGGTGTACCTCCGCCTCACGCCACCCGCACAGCCAAAATTTGGGGAGAGGTCACAAACTCTCTGTCAGCAAACATACTAGCATCAATCGCCCAGCAAGGGATCTTCTGGTGGCGGTTCACCCGTCCCTGGCTGCAATTGGATTTCGATGACATCGTGTAATGTGTAAACCTTGCCCCGAAGCTGCAGTCACGCTGTTTCTCGCGGTGCTCTCAGCCAGCCAGGTCCCGTACAGGCACGTAGGGTTGAGAGGGAAGGGGGGAAGTCTAGACCTACGCTCGCTTAGACCATCGCTTACTCCGGCTACTCCAGCCTTGACCCTGGCCAGCAGCTCAGTGAGCAATCGTGGGTCAGTTTCAGTGTAAGGGATGTACTTGCCTTCCTTGTACCAGGTCCTTAGATCATCCCTGCCTATGAGAGGACACAGGAACATGGCTGCTCATACATAAATGGCCTTCCCTGCGCCTCAGCGACAAGTTTGCACACGCTGTCCTGTTGCTACGCATTTAATAATGGTCTATATAGTATAGAAAGGTCTTTCTTTTTCTCTAAAAGAACGACTGCTAGGTTCATTGACTTGTTCCATTCTGGCACCGCACTTCTTCTGCAGGCATGTAGCTCGATCCTGGTGAACGGCGTCACTTCCTCGGAAGCTCTACATACGCACTTAAGACAACCTGATGTCATGCGCGGTGACTTTCACCGAACAAAGTCTACATGCGCAGGATAGTGCGAATGGAAGATCCCAGTGGTCAGTGGTCAGGTCTGACAGCCAAAATACTCATGCCCATGGCCCGAAAGTATCGGTTTGTGTGTCTACGAGTGCCGTCTAGAATTTCCTTCGTCTGAACATTCCGAGCCACGCAAGGATAGATCTTCCAATGGTCTGCCTGCAGGTCCTCCCCGTGTAGCACCTGCCAATGCATGAGTTGGTGTTCGGATTTCGAGGTGTCGGGTCCCAAAAAAGCCGATCTGGAAACCTCCAATCCTCAGCTCGGCACGTCCTGGAACATGACCCAATCCTTTTCGGTGTCAGAACCTGGTAGATCTGGCCTGAGCGCTTTCCCGTACTGGCTCTGAGAAACACTGCCAGCTAACCATGGCGAGAAACCTCTTCTAAGATTTCCAATGCTTGGAACCATGGTCCACCTCCGCCAGCGCCCCTTACCTTGTAGGACGAGCCTCTACTATAAGTAGTTCATGGGCAGCTAGGCTTCTGATGGCTTAGGTATGTGTGTAGGCAGATCGCAGGTTAATGGAGATTGTCCAGATTTTGATCCAAGGTAGATTAGGGATGGTTCCACTCTTGCACGCGTTGCAACAGAAAGAGTGAGTGACCCTTTAAGAACGGGAAATCTCAGAGAAGATACCCGTTGACATTTCTCATACCTCTTTTGGAAACTAGATGCCAATGCAGCCCGGGCATGCCCAAAATAATTTTCTTTGAGCCGTCCTGAGCTTGAACGCCTCAACTGCCCTGATGAGGCAGATCGGCCCATCTCATTTATGTGTCATCCGCAGCGGCTAATTCTTCTGTGTCTACCTGAACGGGTCATCAGCCCAAACCTACAGGGGTCATCTGCGTCTGCCCAGGTGTGATCTGTGTCTACCTACAGTAGGGCCTGCACCATCCTATCCCACCAGCGAAGTCCTCGAGACATTCGTCGTTTTGACCAGGGCACGGTGGAAAACAAGTTGTATTTATTGTACCTCTTTTTTTAAACGCTTGGACGTCAATCAGGCACGAAATGGGTGCGTCTAGAAATGCGTGGCTGTTGGCTATGTTTGGACGTCTGAACGGCCACGAAATGCTTGAAGGCTGCCTCCGCCCCATAATATGCCATTCGACACTGTGCTTGGACGCCTAGCCAGAATGAAACGCGTGGCCGCATGTGGCCGCTGCCTCCGGCATATAGAAACGAATCGCGCTTTGGACTTGACTTGGAAGGCAGAATCCTCGACACTTTCATCATGTTCTGCTATTGGATGGCAAAATGTGCAAAATCCAGGAGACATGCGTCGCTTGTTGAAACCCGCCGACCAAAAACTTGGAAAAAGAATATTGATCGTTGATATTAATATTGTTATAATCCAGATCCTCCAAGCATTCGTTATTTTTGCAGGACGAGGAAAGGCAATCCTTGTGACCTTCGTCCTTTCTGTCCTACAATGATTTCTCGCTCGCAGACACCCTGGAAAGGGGTCATCTGTGTCTGCCTAAGGTGCCGCATCCCTGAAACATTCATCAAACTTCGAAATAGCCCAAAATCTAGGGGGACATCTGCATCGACCTTATTGGGCATTGAAAGTGTTACCCGTGAAACAGAAGCTTAGACACATATTAACTAACCCCCGTGCCTCCACAGCTTTTGAGATGGCACCTAAAGTTCTAAAGAAATACTTTGTGGAGAGAAATCTCCTGATGGTAGGTCTCGGCGGGAAATCTGATCTTGCTTTGCTACCGCTCACGTGATTCAGTGAAACGACAATCTGTTGCAAACTTACAACATCATCGCATTTCTGCAGAAAAGCGTTGCCGAGTCACATGAGATGGATATCTACCTTGAAGCCGCACGTCTTGAGCAATCGAGTCGCCCGCACTGCCTACCAATGTTGGTGTGTACGTTGCACATCCGTGAAGCGAGCTTACGAAGGCTTTCTGTGCCTAGGGGTCCAGGGAGCTCGCAACTGGTAAGACCACGTGTTACAACTTCTGGAACTGGGTGGACTGGGTGAGCTACTCAAGGCCATCTTCGGAAACAATCAGGCCGCGAGATTATAGCCTCAAACGAAAGCTGTTTCTGCGGCTCATAAGCCATCAAGTAGCTCCTGACTCACAGCCTACATGGGATCGGTCATGCGTACAAGGACATGTTGGAGGAACTGCCACATGAGTGCATTCGACACCACTTTGAGCATGGGCTGGCTGGTTTGACTACAGTAAAGGTTTAGGCACTGCAAGCTTATGGTTTGGGATCTAATGATGCGAGCTGCGGCTGCTCGGTCGTGCCCACGATTGATGTACGCGAGGATATCATCGTTTGTGTGCTGCACGCCAATCTGCACGCGGGTGCATCCGTAGCGGCGAAGCCTACGCACTTCCGCCGGGGTGATGTGATCCGGGCGGGTCTCCAAAGTCAGCCCGATGATTTTTGTGACCGCCTTTTCATTCAGGCGCTGCTCGTCAAGCAGTGGACGCCTCTCTCGGATCCTGGCTGCGTTCTCACCCTTCTCACCGAGCTTGCTCAACTGCTCGTCGAAAGTGTTGGCGGCATAGAAGAGGTCCCGACAGAACTCCTCTTGGTAGTCTCGTGGATAATGAGACCAGGTGCCTCCAAGCACGATGATTTCTACCTTGTCCACAGTGTGACCCTGCTTTGCCAGGGTGCCGGCCCTGTCATAGAACTGCCGTACGGGATCGAACTCGTTTTGATTGGCCCTTGCAACCGCAGGCTCCGTGCTCAGATACGACCGCGGCTGGCCAGGCTCATCCGGACAGTAATAACAATCGTTGGGGCAGGAGAATCTTCCTGGTGCCGTCACGATTGTAATGACAACTACGCCAGAATTCGAGCGAACCGCCTTCTTGGTAGTGACGCGCTCAAAGGATGCACTCCGCTCAATGCGCCCTGCATCTCGCAGTCTGTAATACGCTCGGACAATTTGAGGCTTTGACAGCGTGGTCTTGAACTGCCTCCGAACGGCCTGAATGCGGGTCTCGTATTCCTTCTCTGACTTGAACTCGGGGCCCGACAGCAGCGCCAAAACAAACTGCTCGAAACCCTCCAAGTCTTCCTCAGTGTGTGGCTGAGCGTGGTACGACATCCACTCCTCACAGCCCTGCTCAAAGGCACGCAGGTGCTTGTCAGCAGCTTCAGAAGTGGTCACAACCTCCTTGCTCGGCACCATGTACCTTAATTGCCGAATTATGATTGATCTGCAAACCCTACGACTGAGTCGCATTTCCGCAACATACCTTCCAGCTCATGACTCTTAGAAAAAAGGATCTCTTCTTGCATCTGTCTTCCAAGAAGGGCCCAGACACATCTTACCCAAACGGGCAGTAAGGTAATCATCTTCCACTGCCACCATGGCGAAGCTGGTGCAGGATGCAAGACAAACACGGAAGCCTTTTGAAGTGGCTGCACTTAACGAATGCCTTCAAAGCATGGCTGTGGGTAGGGGAATACCTTCACTGCATGTAAAGGCTGTGGGAGCCTTTTTGGGAGGAAATGCCCTGGACTACTTCCCACATGAATCTGCACTACGTAACACTAGAATCGCAGTGCCCCGTCGCCAGAGCTGCGAAAAGCTGCAAAGATAAAATCGCCAACGGCAACCCCGTGCCGCTCTCACCAATGCTGCACATCACCTCATGATTTCGTGAACCGCCTTTGGTCTACAAGTCTACTATTCCACAAATGCATACAACACGGAAGACATACGAGTGGTGTAGCTCTGTGCCCCGACCTTCCCCTCCGACGCTATACACACTCATGCCCGGTCCAGCTGCTTGTTCTTGGACCTCAACTCGGCGAGCTCACCCTGAAGGCCATCCATCAACGAGGTCTTCCCCTGCAATTACATAGCAGCATGCGGCAATGCTTGAGGATTCTAAGTGGTTCTGTTCAGGTCTGTTAAGGGCAAACAGTATCACAAGTGATGTAGACTAGACGACATCTGGCTGTAGACAAAAACAAAGCCGCCAGAGCCTGAGATGAAAAGGATTTGTAATTGTAGCAGGGGTGAGGCTCACAGCGCTGCAGCAACAGCAACAGTTAGGATGCCATTTTGGAGCCCTCTGCACCTGCAGGTCAAGCAGCTTCTGTTGCAGGCTCTGCCGCTCCTGCGCAGAACGCTGCACCTGACAGGCTTCTGACCCCCAATCAACGGGCAGTCGCCTTGTGGGATGGTTATTTTGCTGCAATCAAAAAGCTGCAAGCTCTGCCTCACCCTGAATGTTCCTTATATGTCTTAACACTATCACGTTGCACTTGTGTGTGTCCATGCAGGCTCGAGAGCATGGTCACGCTGCAAGTTTTCAACAGCCGCTGTCAGAAACAGCTTCACCCTTTGTATCCCCAATCCTTGAAGACTCTACGACCGATCTCCTGAGGATTTTCAATTTCTGCGCGCATGTTGCACATGCCCCTTTGAAGGGCATGTGCCTCGAAGACCGGCTTGCAGCAGAATAGGAGGAATTCTCCCTGCAGGATTTGAGAAGGCACATAAGTGATAATGCTACAGCTCTCCTGCCCTGCTGGTGCTGAACATGTGGAAGCGTGCTGGGTGAAACAAACCAGGGCATGTCTACCTGCAGGATCTCTGAAAATTGCAGATCAGAGCCTGCTCACCGGCGGCAGGATTCTGTCTTCAAGGATAATGCAGACTTTCTTTGGTAATTAATTCAAGCACGCCTTCTGTGAGATCCTGACTTGCGTGCATGATTCACCTATTATTGACGAATTTGAGATGTCAAACCCTTGCTTCAGGTTTGCTGGTTTCTTCGAATTAAGGTTGAAGCTGCGCCAGGGGTCCGCATGTTCTGTACGAGAGCACTGTTTTGGGCATCATGGCCGCTGCTTAAGAACCACATGACCACCGGTGCATGTGAAAACATGAAAACAAAACGTAGAAGAACGTAGATTTGACTTGGTCAGTCATTAATGCGATCAGCTTTGGATCAACTATCTCCGCTGCCACCACTCTCATCGCTGCCACCCGAGTTGGCCGCAGAAAGGCCGGAGAGCAAGCTGGAGCCCCCATCACCTGGGATTCTCAATGATTAGGCAGGATGAGGGTTCCCAAACGGGATGCTTCTCGTGGCAGGTCTTCAGTACCGCAATTTCAGAAGTTGAATCCCTTGCTTTCGTATCTTTAGTGCAAGGTGTTTAAGGGTTGACAATGCCTTCAGCCAGGCTATGCGTTACTTTCCTGGTTGCTCAGGCCGATGCGCACCTCTCACGATTCAAAAGCCCACGCGTCTACCTCTGTAAGCTTTGCAAATTCGGCCGTCCTACAATGCGACTTCCACCGCTCGGACAAGCCTACCTTAATACTCTGCTGGCCCCGCCCACCTTTCTTCTTGCTCCTCTTCCGGCCACCCATTTTCTTGGCAGTGCTCATGAACAGCTTCTCCAACCGGTCAAACCTTGCAGGTGAAGGGTTCGTCTACAAAGGCTCTACAAAGTTTCTTTCCCGGTCACTGGCCTGTCTTCCATGGAGTCATCCTCCTCTGGCCAGGGCATCGTTGGAGCGCTGGAGCCCCCGAATCGTCGGATGGAATCCACAGTGACGATGTGGGAAGAGGCCGGCTCGACAATTTGCACGCCTCCAGGCAGGCCCACGTCACCCTCGTTGAACTCCAACCGGTCGTTCAACTTTAGGCCTCACAGAGTGGTCCATATCCTATCGAAACACTATCCGGAACAATCACACCTGAGCACCAGGTCCATTGAACGACCGACCAGCCAGGAAGAACTCTGTTGCTGTGAGTTTGCTGATACATAGGTTTTGCGGAAAATGTCTGAACGCCTTGAGGGCTAGGACGGCAAGCTAGTTACCCAAACACTCTCGCTCGAAGAGTCATAAGCAGTTCTTGTGACTCTTGTGCAAGCGCATGTAGGTAGATGTTCAGTCCCAGCAAGTTTGGAGAGTCTCACGCGTGCTTTCGTGTAACAATTAATTCGCGGAAATTGCTGCACCTGGTAAATGTACTAGATTTGTCAAGCAGGCACCTGGCATTCTCAGAAAGACCTTGTTCGCTCCAAACACTTGCTTAACCTTATCAGGCCTTTCAGAAATCTTGCCCATCGCTTCTGCGAGATCTGCTCTAACGTGCTGACCTTGCATGGCAAGGGCATGGGCCAAGCAGACTGTCTGTCAAGCTCCGAATCTCAGCCCCTAAAGTCTGAGTGCCGAACAATGACGGATGCTCGATTCAGGCGAGCATAGCCCTGCATGTCTGTGTACACGTGTTGGTAGGCCTGGTTCAGCTGGGCTACGAGGAGATTCACGAGGATAATAGACACCATAAGCACGAAACCAATGATGACAATCATGATTCCAGCTTCCGATTTCAACTCCTCGTAAGAGTCATGCGGAAACATTCCCAGAGCCATCTGCGTCAGCGAAATGAGCCAGGTGCTGATACCAGCAAAGTCATAGAGCTCATGCTCTATAGCGCTGACAGCACTGGCAAACGCCACAATCATGAATGTAAGTGCCATCACGAAGAGGAAAACCTCGGACAGAACTCTTCCAAAGACTAAGACATACGCAGAGATGTGCATGGAGAAGATTGTGAAGTCAAGCACCAAGGTCCAGTATAGGAGAATAGCTATGCAAGAGAAAGCGGAATAGAGCCTTCGCCCAATACCCGAGACTGCCTCGCAGTGCGTAGTGAAAATCAGGGCCTCTTCCGTATTAGAGAACTGACCACACCACCACAGCGGCTCTTCGATGCACATGCCGAGCAGGACCCAAAGCAGCGCAAAATTACCAGCCTCCTTCAAGCTGAACAAATACTGCGGAATTGGCACATAATATCTACGATCGAAGGCACGATTTCTGCAGTCCAACTGAAACAGCTTCATCTGGTTGTAGAAGATTTTGCACATGCTCCCCAAATAGATGAAGACTCGGCAAGCAAAGATCACAATGTTGGTTTCGAACGTCTCTTTCGCATCTGGGCCGGAGAGCGTCAAGAAAGATTGGCTCGTCACTGCCACACAGAGAGTGAACAAGAAGTAGCACCTGCCAATAAGAAACTGATAGGCAACCAGACGTGTCCACATTAGGTCAGCCATAAGCACCACAGTGAACATGCTGATGGTGATGGGGTTGCCGTATTCCACTAGCCACTGTAGAGCCTGATGTGGGTTCCCATCTCCATCTTGCACCAAATGCTTCAGGTAGCAATTGACTCGCCGGGTGCCAAGGACAATTACCCGAGACCGCCAAATGAGGCCAGCAAGAAGGCACTCCAATAGCGACGGAGCGCTGGACGCCAGCTTCTTGATTATCTCGGGGTGCCGCGTGAAAAGGGCGTCTGCCCCATAGTAATAGTTGTCACGGTCAGCTCGGATGGTCAACAGATCCTCAAGCATGGCCTGTGCACATATGAGGCTGCCTGACTCAATGGCCCAGTAAAGGGGCGAAATCGATTGCGTCCCCACCGTAATCTTCAAGAGCTCCATTGCCCTCTTGCCTCGCGGTGCCACACTGATGGCCCTCCTCAAGTTCTTTTCTATGTTGGTGTTGATGGCCTGCATCACAACGGTGGAGCCCTCGACTAGGGTCCGCACCTTGGCTGCAGGTCAAAAATTGCCCCGCCACTCACAACTAGTCTGCTTATTCAGTGCCTCTAGGGTCAGCGAGTCAACCTGATTGATGCTACCTACGAGTAACAAGAGGGAATACCATCTCTCTGCCAGGCGCTCCTGCCACCGTAATCGTCTCCGATCAGACCCGTAACACTGGAAACTGCAAACTAGAATTCTAGGCATCCTGACACGGATAGGGCCCAGGCCATGATCTTGGCAATCAACGTCAGAGACCAGCGAAAAGCAGTCTCTGTAGTCTCATCAGTCGTCATGCCGCGGATCACTTCCACCTGAAGCAGAAGATCTCACATGACATTTGCCAGAAACTCTAGGAGCAAGGGTTCTGAAGAAACTGACTGTTAACCCATTTGAGAAAGCGTAATCTCGAGGGGATTGGATGGTGACCAGTCAAAAACCAGATTTGTCAATCTTGGAAGCTTACCAGACCACACCTCATCCTGAAACCCAAATTACTCGAGGCATCCTACACTCCAAACCGTGCCAGAGCCACAGCCGCGGAGACGTAAGGGGAGAAGAGCTCCGTTGGCACGCCATATCCTACATGCCTCAGGCCAAGGCCAGAGAGCTCCTCCACCATCTTCCTGGTATGCCATCGCGGTTTCAGTACTCTTGTTGCTGCTACAGCCTCATTCATTCTTAACCCCGGTTGCTGCCAGCTTGCTGTGCTTCTTTTTACATAGGTTGCGGCTTTGGATTGAGACTGGGGCCCTGGGGCTCAGAAACAAGCATAGGATGGGATGCTTAAGTTTGTAGAAGTCCTAAGTACTGTTTAGGTCAGGAGTTGCAAGCCCAGCTGCTTGGGGGTGCGGTACATCTCTACAGTCATCTCGACAATCTTCTCCGCGATGAAGAAAAGTCGAGTGGTGGACTGCTTGAAGAAATCCTCGAGATTTTGTTGTCTGCAAACAAGATCTGAAGGTTGCTTGTTGAAAAAGGAATTGCTTTGAAATGAGCCTGCCCCGAGGGTGCCAACTGGAAGAACCTCTTGTACACGTCGCGGCAGTAGTTGGTGAGAGACTCCTGGCCCAGGCCGTCGGCTTCACTCGGCTTCACTGTGCTAGCCTCGCTATGCCTCGCTATGCCTCGCTATGCCTCGCTACTTTTGCTATCTTTCGCTGCTTTGCATGCTCCTTGACTCCATGATAATGACTCTAACGCTGCTTTGCAGTTCTTGCTGCTGTTTGTCGTGTTCTTGCCGCATGACTACCGTTCAACGGCTGGCGCCTGGGACAAGTTCACCAGGAAGCGCTCTATGGCTTTCTGCTGCGCGCGTGGCCTGCCGAGCTGCGCTCCTTGGGTTGAACAACGCTGCAGAATGATACACCATTTCCAAACAGTGCGGAAGGCAAAGGGCACATAGCTTCGAGGCATCTGCGTGTAAAGCCTGCATATGAAGCCGGGGGAGAAGCGCAGCTTGGGAAAAACCCTGAGCCTGGAGCCAAGACATCATACCTGGTCAAAGAAGCTCTTTATTTGCTCTTTCGCTCCGTATGCTCCTGACTCGGCGGCCGCTGACAATGGTTTTGTGCGGATTCAAGACTAAATTCTTGGGCGACTCCCCTCACATGCATCAGCAGGCACCCTCGATGTTTGGAATACTTAACAAGAACTGCCCTGACATGTAAAACCCTACGAGATACCTACCTGAACCTCCAGATCTCCTTGCGACCTGTTCAACTTCAGAAGTTTCCAAAAAATCGCCTACACGTACAGTCCTCGGAAAGCCACAGCTCGAGACAGTGAAACCTAGAATCCTTAGTTTAAGCAAAAGCTAGGCTCGCAGCAGCCGCTCGACATTCTCCCACAGCCAGTTCCAGGCAACTTCGTGCTGAGAGTTCCAATCTTTGGGAACCAGAGACCTGATTTGGAGCCGAGAATCTGAGGAGCCCTGGGGCAGGGCTCCAGCATCCGGATTCCGGGTTAGCATGGCGAGTTCGGGAGCTACACCTATGACAACTACGGGTAAGGTCGTCCGTTCCCTTGGTTCTAAGGTCTCTGTGTACGTCTGAATCAACTTTGGTGGGGTTCGAAGTGTTGATCTCATAGCAACAGCTGGCAAATCCAAACAATATTTGGAATGAGCGCTCTTAGATTTCACATTGGTTAGTTGCCCGCATGGCGTGATCCAACTTTTGCGGGCTAGGGCTTCAAGCAGTGACAGGCTTAGCTTATGTGTCGCACAGGCTTGTGGGACCATTTCTTGATTCTGGTTTGAAGCTCTGCTTTCAAGGAACCACACACCTCCTTGTAGTAGCATGGAAAACCCAGCGTTCAAATGACAAAACCCAACCTTCCGAGCCCATGAAGCTCTCGGGCTCATTGTGACTGCACTCCATACATGAAGAGGCCCCAAATTTACTTGGTAACCGCGACTTGACACTAGTCCTGCTTCAAACATTTTCGCTGGTGCTTTCCCACCTCAAAGAGGCGAGCATGACGGCCTTGAACTCCGGCAGGTTGATTTCACCCTTGCACTTGGCCAGGTTCAGCGACAGCACGTCACACTCCTGCAGTGTTTCCATAGGAGTCATGGTCTTCCAGAGCAAGGCCCTACCCTAGCAAACCAGCAAATGTCATAGACCTTGTTGAGGGACAGAGATGCCTGCTGTCGGACTTTTGATCCGTTGAGAAGGTTGGAGGTGAGATGCGGTAGAAATCACTTTTGGGCCCACTTCCCTGTCTTAAATGCCAAAGTGCGTGTCAGGATGACGTTCAGCATACTCTCGAATGTAGTGGCCATCTCTGTAATTCGTGGGGTTCAGAAGACCTAGCGGATCCGGTTGGATATGATTGGATGGGAGATCAGTTTTGAAGGCTGTGGCCCCAGTGAAAGATCGGCTTTCATATGCTTGCATGCTTGCCAAGCGCAGAGAGCTCTTTCTCACCTATCTCCAACGGATGTGTTTTGCCTAGGTTGGGTTGGCAGTTGCAGACATTTGCATTCGATCTCGACTCTCATTGCTTCAGTTCTCCTTCTTCCTCCTCAAGCTAGTCGCAGCATGTGAGCCTGCATCTTCTGCTTATGGAGTATTCTGCCCCGCTTCACTATCAAAGCCTGAGGAATTGTCCCGCAGTCTGTTTGACGCAAGGCTTGCCAAACAAGTCCCCCTATCTAGCCTCTTCAAGCCGTCAACCAGCGCCTTTAGAACGTGTAAGTTGAAGCCAACCCAAACAATGTAAGTTTCTCACGCATGCCCAGACACCTCCTGTAGGCGGTAGGAGTTCGCAACATTTGTCACAATTGGATCGAAGTACTCCAAGATGAACTTCATCCAGTTGCTGTTGGCATATCCCATGACAGCTGCATTGAAGAGAAACATCTCATCAAAGGTGGTTGGGACCTTTAGAGCTGAGGCTTTGGTTACTCCCTCTTGACCCTCCTGGGTCTTGTTCAGCTCGTTTGCAGCTTCTGTCTCTTGGGGCACTTCTTCCTCCTCCTCCTCATCATCAGACTTGGAATCCAGGTCCTCTACCTCCCCCACATCAGCGCCCTTCTTTGCTGCCGTGTTCCAGCTTCTCTGAAGCAGTCGAATTCGACCTGCATATTCTCTCCTGCAATGAATGTAGGCTCCGCCTGCACAGGGTTTTCCGACTTGCTCGCCTCCCTGCAAACCCTGCTGTAACCTCGTTCAAGAATGAAATCGATCCTAAGGCCACCCACCCCCACGCATCAGCCGCGTCCTAGAGAGTTAAGGAGTGAGTCCTTAAGGTGGTTGGGGCAGCTCCTGCATAGGTCATCACTGCCGAAAGCCCCAGACGTGCGCGTGTGCCAAACAAGGCACCAAGCTCCAGGTCAAAGACCTTGCTTGGGGGCTTGAGAATGGAGTTCTGTAGCACTAGACCACTTACTACATCCAAAAATCACCGGATCCCGTACCCTGAAGAAATATTGCCGACATGTGGTACAGCGATTCAAGGTTCCGAACACCCTGCTGATCTGATTCTGTGGACTCCTACCATGCAGTCTGCCGACCATACGGCAGCTTTGAGTTCCGTGTACCTTTACATCCTGGAGCTTGCTCTTGCTTACTCTGCAGCATCAACCTACAGCACTGCCGGGTCGTGCAGTAACTAAACCAAGAATTTAGCAGTGGGCCACCGGTTAGCTCATTGCGGAATCCTTGTGGGTGGTACGCAAGACGTCTGAGCGTCACGTTCACCCACACGGAAAAAAGACCACACAGCAGGCTGCGGAGCAGTCAGAGCCTCTAAAGAATCTGGGGCGAGGACTTCCAGTGTGGACTCGCGGAAAATTTCGACGCGAGGGCCTGTGACGTCCAGGTCCAGATGGTTGAAAGCGATTGCCTCCACCTCCTTGCGCAAGCCTGATGGGTTACCCGCATTGATTATGAAGGTCTCGATGCCACTGAGAATGCGCAAGCCCATTGCCTGGCAGATACTTATCCGTTCCATCCCTGCAACTTGCTGGTACATCAAAAAGGGGTCTGAAGCAAAAAAAGTCTACCAAAGGAGACCCTGCTGCGGCTCGCGGCGCCCTGAACATGCCTTGCAAGTTGGGGGCAGCATCAAAGAAGGCACCGTAGATGGCGTCAGCCGCAGCCTCTCGCTTATCAAACACGGACACGAAACCATTCCAAGCTTTCTGCGTGGCCGTCACCACTTTGGGTGGCATCTCCATTTCCTCAAAGCTCTTGTCGTTCACATGCATAAACTTTTTCATGATCTCCGCTTCCTCTTCATCTGGCTCGGAGTCGGCATCATCACTTCCGTCCATCCCTGACGAGCCCGCCTCAAAGGTGTCATGCAACTCTGCTTCTAGTAGTAAAGATTCCTACCTCCTGAGGATGAGGAGAGGAAAAAGAAAGGCCCTACCCCCGCATCCCCCCGTTGCCGGCCATGCCTCTTCGGACTCTGACTCCTCCAGATACTCGGATTCGTCCTCGACCTCCTCCGACATGCTGACTTTTAGCCGTCGGAGACAGGCCACCCATGTGAGGAATCCATGTGAGGAAGAGCCGAGCCGGCTGCGAACTCCGCACGTCATCCAGAACCAGAGCGGATGTGTTCTCCAAGCAGGAGCGAGAGAGTGCAACGTAAATTGTGTGGATCGGATGGGCTAGATTCTGCAATCCAAAATAGGATGAAAATGTCCGCCCTCATTGGACAAGAAACCCCAAAGAGCACACAACTAACAGCTTCCGATGCTTCGCACGGGATGTCCTCCAAATGCAGTCAGGAGATAGCGGATAATGTTCAACAAAGCCTTCTTAGTAAACACTGCTGTTAAGCTTCTCTTTCGGGCTTCTGCACTCCCAGCACCGTGCCTCTTGGTGACCTTTCTGCAGGGTTTCGCCTTGCCGTCTACCCAAACCAGCTCACCCAACCCTAAACCCTAAACCGCGTTTTAGGGTTTAGGGCTTAGGACATCACGTTATGCCTAGTCTGTCCAGCATGGCCATCCCATGAGAGCCGAGCACGACAAACCAAACACCCTTCTCTAACGCTAACAAATATGATTATGCTCGTTGCTCTCAGCTGCTACTGCTATTGCTGCTGCTGCTGCTGCCGCCACTGCTGCCCCTGTTACTATAATGCTATACTGCCACTACTTCTGACTATTATAAATGCTGGGACTACCAGTGCTCCTCCTAATCCAGTAGAAGTTGTTCGGAACTATTGTGTTGCAAGCCTGGCTTGTTGTTGGAGCCTCACAACTGTTGCGAAGACCCCCTAACTAATCCCAAAGGATCAAGGGCATTCAAAGGCTCTACTCTCTGGCTCTCGTCTAAATCCAAAGCTTTCTCAACAGCCGTAAATATCCAAAAGCCAGAGAGTCTTTGAAACTCTACACTCCCAATCCAGTCTTACACGTTACCGACCACAAGGGATCCAGACTTCAGTGCTACCTGATTATAATAGTCCCTTTTCCTAGTCACTCTGGGTTAGAGGTTAGACTCTCACACAACTCAAACCTGCATACTGTTCAGTCTAATAATACTCTCCCTAGCTTCATAATCTCTTATCTTCCTGACTATGCTGTAGCATGCTGTAGCTGGGACCGGTCCAGGCATGAACTGCCTCAAATTAGGAGCAGTGAAAGGTTGGCTGAGCCCGGCGTTCCGAAGGGGGCTGCAGTGTCGACTAAGCCGCATACACCAGCTTTGCCGGCCTTTACTAACAGAACAGTGTAGGGCGCCCACGCGCCAATTGTGCCTGGAGCCCTGATCAAGCTAAGCATGCCAAGCTAAGCTCTTCGTGTTCCCTGCAGGCCCGGAACCCTGAGCTTCTGGCTCTGCTCTGTCAGCTTTCTCTGAAGATCCGCGCTGCGCCTCTCGAGATTGGCCTGCGACCATTTCCGGAGGCCATCATTACTGGTACGGGTGCTGACGACGAGAAGCGATGGTCGAGAAACCCTACCATGATGATAGCAATGAAACCGTTACTTACTTGCGGAGTCTGCAATGAACTAGCATGATTTTATGATTCAAGTTAAGGGATGGGGCTTGAGGCGTGGCGCAGGGTGAGGGCTACAGGGTCGATGGAGAGAGGCCATGGCCAGCCCAGCCATCCTCAAGACAAAATTTCTGCACTTGGGCTGGCTGGGGCTCGGGGGTCGGCCATGGGTTGGAACCAGGCGCACTTCACAACGAGGATGCTCATATTTTCTGACAAGCTTTGCAGGCCCAGGGAATCCCAGGGATAGCTCCAGAATTGTAGAACTTGAAGGCCGTCAGGCCTGACTCCATTCATGTGCAAGCTTACGCGATGTTTTGCCGTGGCAAAAACTTGAACAACTTGGATGAGGGTCAGAATGCATCATGTATCCTCACGACGCTGCCATACAAACCTGGCAAGCTTCTCAATACATGTACGGGCTTTCAGGGAAGGCATTCTTGAGGATCTTTCTGATAGCGTCACTGCATGGGCAATCCCAAGCTTTTGAACAGCCACACTTCTGCAATAAAAGCAGTAGCTACAGGGAAAAGAAAAAGCGTGCAAGGAGTCTCACAATTCTTTACACCCTAAGTACCACAAAACACTGTTTGGCTTCGGGTTTACACCCCCAAACCCCAAATTTGACATCCGGATGTCTCGCGCCTTGGCAGACGTGGACTCCTCCAGCTGTCGCTCGAGTTGATGGAGTCGACTCTGGGACCTCAGCCAAGTTTCTGCCAAGAGGTTCAGGTCTCAGAGTGTAGAGCTACTTGGAAATGAAGTTTGAGATCAAGAGCTCAGGGCTAGTGTTCTGAGATTCTTTGGTTGGTCGAAATTGGAAAATAGCTCATCGGCGTTCTAACTATTTTATGGACCATTTGTGTGATCATCATTTCCAGCCAGTTATGTATCATGCATGCTCATCATTACTTTTCCGTCATTTATCATTCGAAATTAATCTCATCGTATATTCATCATTTACTTAGGCGTCCATTGCTCATCCGTCCGAACTACACCCCCGGTTGAGCTACTTGGCAAGCCTTGCGCAATCTTCCTAATTTAATGCAATCTTAGTTGTCGTTAGTAGTAGTAGTAGTAGCAGCAGTAGTAGCAGCAGCAGTAGTAGTAGTAGTAGTAGCAGTAGTAGCAGCAGTGGTTCTCAGTAGTTGTTGGTGTTGTTGTAGTAGCTGTAGCAGCAGCGGCAGCAGCCGTAATGTTGGGTTCTGATTAGTTAATGGGTTCGGAATAGAGCTAAATCCTGCCGGTAATAAAGATGGGTACTGAATAGGGCTAACTGTTGTCTGAACGGATTAAAAGCAAGTAAGGAACGGAATAATTCCATGCTCTGTTCTGGAAACACCCATTGAAAGAAAAAAGCAAGAAAGGTTTTGTGTTTGGAGTATGGTTTGGGGCGTTTAGGGTTCAGGGTTTTGGCTTTAGGGGTTGGGGTCTAGGGCTTAGGGTTTAGGGTTCATGAGTTCCTCTTAGGACCCCCCCAAACAGGTTTGCCGGAATTTGATTGGGCGACCCCGGAACATCCTTACTTGTTGGGGGCGGGGAGGCGGGGGGTATTAATCAGAAACCCCCACTAAGCGTAGCGTTCGTAGTACTGTACTTGTTGTAAGAATATTGATAGTACTTTCTGTTGAACCAGGATGAGATGAAGGAGGCAATCCAAGCTTTTCTTTGAAGCCAGGAACGATTCCAGGATGAAATGAAGGCAGGAATCCGGGCTTGCTTCAAACAAATCCAGGAACAAATCCGAGACGGAATCCAGCATCGCAAAGCAGGTGCCCAAAGGGCGCAAGCTGGTTCTGCGGGGCCGTACAATAAAAGTTCAAAAGCAACACTTTCAAGGACCAGAATCATTATTTCAGCATGTTTACCGCTGCTTGTTTAATCGGCTTTAACAGACGGCGCTTATCTCTTTTTCCTATGTTTTATCACTTTTTCTGGTCCCCCTTGAGTTTCCCGTACCAGATCTCTCATTGTTTATCATTTCTGTTGTTTGCTTTTAATTACCATGTGAGACAGTGGCCTGGATTCGGGAGATCATGTTTGAACATTTTCTATCATTTGGGACGGCCTGGATTCGGGAAATCATTTGTCATCATCTGGGACAATGGCTGGGTTTTCATCATGTGGGACAGTGGCCTGGATTTGGGGGACCATAACGTAAGTAATCTATTTGGAAGTTTCCCTAAATAAGGGGACCCCAATATAGACCCCAAAATACTATAGTCCTTATTATGGAGACCCCCAAAATGGTATCCCTAATTTTGGGAAACCTCCATTTATCATTTGGATGGAACTCTTCACCTGCCTCAGAAGCCTGGACCTGGTCAAAGGCGCGTGAATCTTCAACAATCTAGGTTGCTGTTAAGGAACTTAATTTAAGGTACTATATTATCCACCATAATGGAGAATCAAATGGAAAGGAAAATGGAAAATGAAATGGAAACTGGGGGTGTGAAAACCGGTCGTTTT